ATGATAGTAAAGTGATTTTTGAATATAAAAATTGAGCGAAGATTGGCTAAACTAGCGATTGAAAAAATAGGTCCAACCATCATCAGTTTTTGGATAGGTCCAACCAGAATCAATTACCCTACTATGTCAGTGAAAAAATGAGAAAGGAAAAACTGAGATGCAACAGTAGTGAGTGAGAGAAACGTATGAGATTTATTTATTGCGCGTTTCACACCAAATTGGACTAATAAGTGCGTTTTCACTTATTAAAAAGTGTGATAAAACTGCAAGTTTACGTCTAATTGTCTTGGTGCCTTCGGTGCACTTATTTCTTATGATGCAAGCAATAAGTGCTCCCAAGACATCAAAATGATTTGATGGAAACGTGCACTTTTATCACACTTTTTGCATTTTTGGGACAGTCCAGTTTCAGATGCAATCAGCAATATGGTCTTGTAAAAGAGATACATATTTGCAAATGTCAAATGCGATGCTCTCAAGAATCATTGTGAAGAAAACAAGGTAAGCAGGTGATTGAAATGTTTCCATTTTTGATAGTCGGTTTGGATTGTCGAAATATTGCAGCATTGCTAAGAACCCATTGAAATTATCTCTCGAGCTAAAAATTTCTTCAGAATTTGGACTTTTAGAATGCTATAAAACGTCTATAAAGCTTGCAATGTTACTTGGGAACATTGTCAATATTTCAAGTACCACACTGCTGAAAAACAAGCTAATTATAAGAACTTTGAAAATATTTCAATATGTCAGATTCTTGGGAAAGTTTTAGAGTCATTGGAGTTTCATGGAAGAGAAAAAATTCAAAGTTATAAATTGGATTTTAAGAACAAAATATTTTAAAATTTTAAAATCTGAATAATACTTCTCAGTCTTTTAACGAAAACCAAGAATGATGAGGATTTTCGTAGTCTGTTATTATCAAGAAAAAAAATATTGTTGCTTTTTTGAGTTTACTGAAATAATGAATATAACATTAAAACAAATTTGACAAAAATCTAGTTAAACTAAAAATTCAAACTTTTTTTCTAGATACATGAAATTTAAAAAAAAAATATATTTTGCGACTGAGTTAGGCAACTTGAATCGGACTAGTCAACCGGACCTTGCAAATTTAGTGAGGAGCACCCCTGTACTGATGACTCAGCCAAAATATATTTGGAAAGATTGACGAAACTTCTGTCGCGTGGGGTGCAGACTCAAACGTGACTACAACAAAGCTACTGATAGCAATTAATCTAATAACAACGTATAATGGACAAACGCAAGGACAACCCCGCGGTAAACGTGCCACTTGACATGTTGTCACGTTTACGCTACATGCAGATCATAGAACTGCATCCGTTCCATATAATCAGACACACATTTTGATGTGCTACTCATCGAACTGATGCCGTAAACAAACATTTGACCGTGAACGACTGATGATAATCCTATCTAATTACTGATATAATTGACAGCGAGTTTTGAAGCTTTTGAAATTGATCCTGGATACATGACATGTGGACGGTAAGCATGTAGGTAGGCATAAAGGGATGGAGGTGTTCATTAGAATCAATAGATAAAAAATAGTCACTATTCGGAAGCACGTGATCATGAGATCGAACGGGTGTAATTGGATGCGGTGTGTTCGGTGGTGTGTTTATTTTCGTAGTTATCGAATTGTGCAAATAAATCAATTCGATTTAGAACCAGGTATTGGCCACGGATGCATTCGATTTGTGTGATGGGCAGACCTGTCAAAGTAATTACGCTTTTCTCGACCTGTGTGTATTTGTCAATTTGGATCAGGATATACGCCACGATGATATCGTTTGAAAGTTTTTTTTTTATTTATTGCGAAATTACCTGGGGCGATTGTTTTGAGCTTATCGAACCAATTTGTTTTCGATTGCGGTGGTACGAGCACAGTTCAAATGGTAAACAGTTTACCTATGTACCATTTGTTTGTTCTGGTGGCAGATTCTGCTATTTTTGTAGGTTCTGCACTCAAATCAGCAGCTTTTTGTGTTGTGTCACTGAAGCAAAACTTCAAGTTATCGCCGTTGGTGAAATCCTTCAAATTTCATTGGATATCCTAGGCAGATAACACTTTGAGAAATCCAATGAAAGTTATGTGGCAATGATTTTCATATGACCATCATTTTTTTTTTAATAATTTATTTGATAAGGCTCAACCGAATTAACTTAACTGATCCAAGGATTCTTGTTCACTATACAATACATCTTAAAAGTATAGCCAAAAGGTACAACACAATAAACATTTTATCTTCCGCTATCCAATTAGCCTCCTCCACCAGAACGAGAGCCGCTTCCAGTGGTTTCATTGTATGGCAGATTCGCCAACGGGGGCAGCAATGCACTATGGGGAAAGTGGTGGCCAAAAATCGAAAAATTGACTTGCTTTGAATGACGTATCTTGTAAACCATTTGATAGCATAATAGTTCAAACCTAGATGCCCAAAATTTCAGCCCTCTGTGATGAAAACTCATTGCGCCACAGACATCAGACTTAGGAAAATTTTGAAAATTGTAGAAAAAATACATTTGAAACAAATGCAATTTTCTCAGCGAATAACGGTCTAAACATTGAATTAAATACACCGTTGGAAAGCTAATTGTCTAAACTTTAAAATGGGTATGTTGATACGGTTACACGGCTAATTAAAATTGGTTAAAAATGGGCAATTATTGAAAAAAAAAATGTTTTTTTGCCTAAGTTGGACTATATCTAACGAGCAGGGCCGAGCAGTCTCAAGAGACCACCACTACGTTTTAGTTTAGGGTCTATACTATCTGCGGAACAAGGATTCAGCTGGGTATAGCTGCGTATGAGCGTCATTTTGGCACAAAGTCGTAAAAATGATTTTTTAAATGTTTTTTTTTTTGTTAATTACATATATCGATTATACGAGCATTAACCAAAAAAATCGTACAAATTAAACACTGGTTGAAAAGTGGAACTGTTAAATGTCAATTTTGGTCTTAAAATGTTACACACTTAATTATTATTGTTGTTAAAAATGGGTAAAAACAGACCGAAAATTATCATTACATATAGAAACCGTATCTACCCAACTGGACTAAAAAGTTTTCAATGTTTTCACGATAACCTTTTGATATTTTCAATACATAATAACCAACGGAAAAAGAAAGACCACTACCAAAAGGAAATTACCTGTTCGAGTGCCATTTTACAATTTCTACCCACTAAACTTAGGTAAAACTATTATTGATGTTACCTACTTGCATTTAAAAGACGAGGACAATATTTTCAATTCATGAGTTTGTTTTCGGCTTTAACGCTAACAACGTGTGTGTGCTAACAACAATATTGTGCAGTAGTTTAATCGAAAATCTGAAAACAATTGTTTGTGATAATATGGATCATAGGAGCATCGTGTTACTTTTTGATCCAAAAGAATCTCAAGTAGTCAATGCAACAAAAGCATTTGAATATATCAAGAAAAAATATAATATTGATCTTGCCAAAGAAGAACAACTTCTTAAAAAGTTGAAGTACGTAGCACAACATTTTTACAATGCGTGGCAAAAGGCTCACCGCCTACAAGAGCGCTTTGAGAAATACAATAAGGATTGGCTCGATAGTCATTTGGAACTTGCAGAGTACATCGCAGAAACCCCTTCAACGTCAACTGGCCATGATGGACGCGGACGTCCACAAAAACATGATGATGATTTTGGACTAGCTTTAATGATTTATTTCTCGCCTTGAGTATCATAGCGGCATAACTGCATTGATCGATTTGTCTTCATCGATTTTCTCTTTTGTTAATAACTTGACCAAATCGAAGCCGATCGACGTGATTTTTTTACTGACGGAAAAGGATCATAACCAGTGCTGCAAAATTTCGACACTAAAAACTGATAATAACAAAACAACCCTGGTCACTCATTTCAGCAGAGAGTCACCATCAGTAGCAATCAATATCAATTGTCAGTGATATTACTATCAGTGACGACAATGTGCAGTTTTTTCATTTGCTGAATTACTATCGAAATCAAATTAATTTAGCAAAACAGTTACATACAACCTTCAAAGTGAATACGAATCATCAATACTAGTTACACCTTCCGGATGCGATGAAAATACATAAATATGACTAATTTTATGCTTAACTTACTATAATACCATCAAAAAGTGCGGAAAAACCAATAAAATATTTTTGGTCACCACTTTGTATGGAGCCGCCCCATAGTGCAATGGACGTAAAACGTGGTCAGCACTCACACATTCATCACGAAACGGTTGCTTTCCAAAGTCGACGACGCATCGACTGAAAGAACTGCTGATGAAGAACAATGAGAAGGACCAAACAATGGTTGCTGCCAGGCCTATGGCAAGGACCACTTTTTCGTGTAGACAACATCTCAGCAAGCTCAGCTGTCAAACTAATGTCAACATCGTATGTTGTTGGTAGAGTCGGTGTATAATGAGTCACGCCAAGAGAAAAGCAGTTGAACTCGCATCACGGTTTTCGAAAGATTCCCTTTCTTTTCATTTGGCAACAGAAGACTTCTACATCAACTTCAAATGACTTTTAGCGAGAAAAAAAATAGCGGTTGTAGAAAATCATTATATCAGTGATTTTGTCAAATTATCTTAACAAGAAATAGTAGAAATTCTCATTACTGATCATTACCAAACATATCCCATGACAATTTAATGCTCACTGCGTGTTTATGCTCATTTCTTCGAATATATTTTATATTTTATTGCAATACCTTTCGTGGATCTTTCATAGCATCGTAATGTTTGTTTACTTTGCACGATAGGTAGCCGGTTTGACAGTTCAATAGGTAGACTTGGCTTCACTCTTGGCGTGACTCATTATACACCGACTCTAGTTGTTGGTTGTAAACCTTGTAAAAGTTTTGTTTTGTTTTGGTTGTGCTTTTTTAAGAAAAAAACATCACGCTGTTAACTTCGCTTTCTCCGTTTGGGTAAAAATTTACGGTTTTCCGCGGTCCGTGAGTGAAAAATGAAGTGTGCTGTACCGTCTTGCAGAAAAGACTTTCATTCCGTTTTAAGACCTATGCACTCGAAACATCGTTTCCCGATAAAACATAACAGGCGCTTGCAGTGGATCAGATCTATAGTTGTAGCGGAAAATGATATGTTGCAACAAGGTATCAACTTCGAAACTGCCAGGATATGCTCTGATCACTTCACACCGGAATCATTTAAGGAATTAGAAACCAAGAGAACGCTCCGTAATACAGCAGTTCCTACGTTATTTGGAAGTGATGTTGCAAAGGTCGGGTATGTATTTGAAAAATTGGTTTCTCAAATTACTGGATGAAGAGTGCTAATCAACGTTTTAATTTAATTCCAGTAACTCGACCGCTTTGGCCTCTTCGATCGCTTCGACTGTACCACCCACTGAATATGAAATGCATCTTAAAAGTATTCAGAATCCAGCTGTGCCGTCCTTGCAATCTAGATCTACAGGAACTGTTAGGTACATAGGAGACATCACCACGAATACCACAGGGGATCAGTTGGTAGCTGCTGTTCCAAAAATAAAATCACAGTTTGCACGAAACCAGCACACAATCAAACTATTAAGGGCTCAGAACAGAAGGCTGAATGATAAGATGACAAGTATGGAACAATTGATGTCGACTCTCAAAAAAAAGCAGCTTGTTGATGACTTCGAAAATAATCCACTGCAGGTGAATTTCAACTTAATTATTAGTTTTAATCTCGGTGTTAATATGTATTTTCTTGTGTAATTCGATCTATTTCGAAATCATAAATTTACAAAAAAAAAAAAAGATTCATAAGCCAATAAATCTATACATTTTTTTTTAATTTGTTCACACTTTACTATAACCTAGGAGTATTCAACCAATAATGAAATATTTGTGGAGCTGAAATCCAGGAAAAATGGAAATCCTTACAGCGAATCACTACGGAAATTTGCTATTACTCTTCACTTTTACTCACCAAGAGCTTACAACTACGTTCGTAAGGTTTTTCGAAATGCTCTACCTCACTCTCGTACAATTTCCCGATGGTACGTCAACGTCAACGGTGAGCCAGGTGTAAGTGGCCAGGCTCTTGATGCTCTACGAGTGAAGGCACAGGAGATGTTAGAACAGGGCAAGGCACTACATGGATGCCTACTAATGGATGAAATGGCAATTCGTCAGCAGGTGACATGGATCAAGCATAGTCAACGATTTCATGGTACTGTGAACTATGGTGGTATAACATCACAGGGAGAAAATTTAACCCCCGCAAAAGAGGCGCTGGTCTTCATGGTGTCTGGCGTTGAGGAAGCATGGAAAGTGCCGATTGTATATTATTTAATCAATGGACTAAAAGCCGAAGAAAAGAAAAACCTTGTAAATACCATCCTCTGCAACCTGCACGAAGTTGGAGTCAAAGTAGTAGCATTCACTTTTGATGGTACAAAGTCTAACATTGCAACAGCAAATGCACTTGGCTGTGACCTACGTGCCGATTCGCTGAATTTGAAACAAAGATTTTCGCATCCATGTGGCGAGTATGACGTGTGCGTACTATTGGACGTCGTACACATGATTAAACTGGTGCGTAACACTTTGCATTCTCAGCAGACACTGCTTTCAACAAGCGGAACTGTTAAATGGGAGTATATAGAGAAGCTGAATGAATATCAAAATGATCGGGGAATAAAAATAGCAGAGAATTTAAGTGACAAACATGTCCACTTCGAAAACAGCAAAATGAAAGTCATTCTGGCTGTTCAAACCATCAGTGGCAGCGTAGCGTCAGCCTTGAATTTTTTAAGCTCCTATGAAGCTGATTTTACGGATTCCGTTCATACTGCTGAGTTCTTGCAACTGTTCAATAATATATTCGACATTTTGAATAGTATGAGGAGCGATGCTCAGAATTTCAAAAAACCACTTGATGAGGATAATATCCATGATATTCGGGAAGTATTTGCATTCGCGGAAGGTTACATCAGAAGTATAAAGTTATTGGATGACACATTGATTTTGAAATCTATGTATAAGACTGGTTTCCTTGGCTTCCTTGTGGCCATGGAAACATTTCGTTATCTTTACACAGAATACTGTGAAATGAATAAAAGCATGTCAGTTATATACACGTACCGTTTTAGCCAAGACCACCTGGAGATGTTCTTCGGAGCAATAAGATCGAAAAGCGGTTCAAATAATAATCCAAATGCTGGCCAGTTTCGAGCAAGCTATAAGAGGATGCTGAACCAAATCGAAATTAGCAGTTCATCGTATGGTAATTGTACTGATTTCAATACTACGCCACTTCTACAATGCTGTGATATCATACCTGATACGCCTGATATGGATTCAAATCAACCCCTTCAAGAAACGGCTAGCCTGGAAACGGAGAATAAATGGGAACTATTCCGCAACGATGATATCACTCATTTTGCTATAAAAACAAACATTGAGCAACTTGGCAAGCAAATTGCTCTTAAAATCATCTGCGAGCAATGCATTGAAGTGATTTCTAATGTTGACACACTCCTTCTGATTTGCAAGGCAGCTGAATTTGAGTTTAGGGTAAGTATATGGGCTAAGATCATCATCATAAGTATTTGTGGGTAAAAAATTATAATTTTTTTTTTTCAGAACCTTGTTGGAACCGATAAGAACGTGAATGTGGGATTGCATTTCGATAACATGGTCATACATTCTGTTGCACGGAGCGCTGCAAATTTGGATTTCCTTTTGCCTTGTGACGACGATCATCAGCTCGACATGCTTCAACTGGTATCGGAAAAATATCTTCACACCAGAACTGCAGTTTACTCAAAGTAGATCATTCCATTCAAGCCTTCTAATCGCCAAAAGCTAACTAAAATAATTATTTTTGAAGGACACTAAATAACGGATAAAAACCAGGAATAAACCTGTATTCATGTATGAGTTTAAAGTAAAAAGCACAATAAAAACGATAAAACACCTTCAGATTTTCCATCAACCTGCATCAATGTTTGGTCATCAATCAGTATTTGCTCCTGGTCTTGAAATCGGAACAGCAGCTGCAATTGTACCACCTGTTTTACTTAAGGCAAATCATCCTACGTATTGGCCCTGTCTCCTATCACTGCGAGATGAATTCACTAGACCGTTCCAGCAATTGGGATTCCGGAATTGAAAAAAAAAACAACAAGCATTTGCAATTGAAACTCTTGTGAAGAATCATTTCAAAATACTTACTAGTCTTTTAAAGTTTTAGTTCCAAATACATAATGTAGGCACTGTTGTGTTTAGCAGCGTCTTAATGTTCCTATTCATCAGCAAGAATCTGATGTGATCAGGGTAGATGACTCCGTATATCCCGTATATCCAGACGATCAGTTTTTGTTTTCGGGAAATTGTCAGAGAAAACAAGTCTTGAAACGATAAAATCGTTTCGCCGAGGCATTTTCTGCCACTGGCGCATAATGTAGATCCAGAAAACGATCAAAATACGATGGAAAATACAATGAAAGTACCGAAATCACACGAATTACTTTGAATACTGCTTTTTTCTAGCTTTGCGCCGTAGCTTCAGCAGAACTTGTTGTATTTCGTGTCAAATCAAAACAAACCAATCAACTTCTTCTTCTTCTTCTTCTTCTTCGACTATTTGACAGCTGACAGTGGGCCCAAATCAATTTGTGCCCGGGACATGGCGCCTACTTTCATTCACTGTTATTTGGTATAGGGATGTCAAGGGGCTGGTTGCTGCCGAGTAAACAGACGATCGCGTGACACAATGGTAAAATAATCATAGTGTGAACACTGCATGACCATCATTTAAGACACATATTTCGGAGAACAGTCACCTGGAAGAAAGATACGTGTTATAGGATTTTCCAATAGCGCAATTTTATATGTTTCATTAGGGTCTGTACACAAATGATAGTTTAGTATTAATTTGTTTATTTCATCAAGCAAAAGTAGACTACATACAATGGTAACAATGTTTTACTTCCATGCTATCACATAACATATGTGGAACTTCATGCAGAATAGATGACGAAAAGTTGACCCCTTTTTTGTGTTGCCTCAGTGGTATAACTGGCATAGTTGAACATCGATCTGTCAAAACAAAATTTTCGTGATACTGACACTCAGCGTTCATAAGGATCAATGTCGAAATCGTAAACCATGGCTCCTTTCGTAAATTTCTCGTAGTTTAAAGTCAATCGATGTAAGCCACCAATTCTATCGGATAGGAGGACTCTCGCTCTACACAATCATCGTGGTGGTTTACTTGAGTGAGTTTTCATTCTCGAGAAATTCTTCGAGAAAGTAATTGTTCACGTTTGCGACATTGGCCCTTGTGAAAGAAAAGCAGATATCAAGAGCAAATTTTCATTATGTCGTAAGTAACATTCGCACCAATCCGAGAAAAATAAAGTTTTGTTTTGATGACCGAAAAGTTATTCCTATTTCGAAGTAAACACATATAATCTCATAGTGATAGCAATGTTTAACATATTTAGCCGGGTTTTAATCATACAAAGGCAAATCGCTAGCTTTCATGCTAAGAAATACTGGTTTTTGAGTCAAAAGTTATTATACGTCGTTTGGTGGCCCCTATTGTTACTTAAGTCAAAGTGTATTTACCAGGATATTCCGGAGAATTATCAATTACGTCTCCTTACGTGCAGCCTATTCATCATTTTAGGACCACCGAAATCATCTTAGCAACAAACAGTTCGATTTATTCACTTTAATAATGAGAAAGCGAAACGACGAACGAACACTTTTCACGGGTTTCTCAGCGCTGTTACTTAAGTCAAACGGCATCTCCATAGAAATCGGGTGACTTAAGTAACATCGAAAACTATTTTGATCGGAAGGTGATTACGTCAAAAAGCAATTTGACTGGTAAATAAATTTAAAAATGGGATTTGATCCTATATTCGGACAGCATATAGTGTAATAGCAGGAGAATCGATTGACACTGATAGCTCGACTTTGTTTACCTTTGTTACATTCGACGTAATGAAAATTTGCTCTTGATATAAGGTTGCATGCTCAGTAGGGTGTCCCAAAATTGCACTATGTCTGGAAATCTGGAGGCTCAACCTCCAAATGATAGCTAAGAGTGTTACAAACAAACTTTTGTGTGGCGGCAACTCTGGGAAATGTTGTTTAGAGGTCGCCCCAACGAGATTTTTGAAAAAAGTCCATTTTTCATAGCTATTATCCAATAAATATTTTTAGTTCTTTAAATTTCAGTGGAATCTCACCCTTTTATATTTTTCGAAGATTCCCAAGGGTCAAAACTATAAGAGAAAAAATTGCTACGGCATGTTCTGTGTCCAATTTGTCAGTTACAATTTTTCACATTCTCTAAAATGATATTTTTGTTGTACATCACTGCATTCAATCATCAAAAGTGGGTATCAAACATAGCGCTATTATCAATCAAATGCAGCAGAAATATGGGAAAGCAAAAACTTTGCCGAAGACACTTCAACCTCATTTTTAATCGTTAAAAAGTTATTCGTGATTTACTGTGGAAAGAAAAGTTCAGAATTTCAATACTTGCAGGGTGTACTATGGTAAAATCTCATAAGCATCTGTACATGAAATCTAGTGGACTTTGTCTTATTTCTTCATTCCACCATGCCGCCGTCTTTTCACGGAAATATTGACAGTATCTTATGGGATTTTCATAGGAGTGAAAGGGTAAACAAATGTTCACCATGTTTCACGACCAGACTGATGTTTGCTTACGACATTTTACGGATTTTACC